TCCGGAGTGCTGGGATTATAGGTGTGCACCACCACCACCTGGTACTACTATTCTTTAAACAACAACAAAAAGCATTTACTTATTGTGCATGAGTGTGTGTGTGTGTGTGTGTGTGTGTGTGTGTGTGTGTGTGTGTGTGTATGTGCGTGTGCACATGTGTCATGGCGTGGAAGTGGAGGTCAGAGGACAACTTTGGGGAGAGGCTTCTCTCCTACCATGTAGGTCCTGGAGATTGAACTCAGGTCATCGGGTTTGGAGGCAGGTGCCTTTTACTCACTGGATCCTTTTGCTGGCCTTGCTTTTACTGTTCTTGAGATATCTTTCCTTTTGGTGGTCAAGAATTCATTACCCTGCAGAAAACAGCACCCTGAACATGACAGTCCAAAGTCCCCTGTTCTGGTGGGGATTGTATACATCAGTCGTTGTTGGCAACAAAAAGATATTTACTGTTTTTAAAATTATTATTATTTTTTTAAAGATTTATTTATTTTTAATGTATACAGTATTCTGCCTACACACCAGAAGAGGGCATCAGATCAAATTACAGATGGTTGTGAGCCACCATGTGGTTGCTGGGAATTGAACTCAGACCCTCGGGAAGAGTTGCCAGTGCTCTTAACCTCTGAGCCATCTCTCCAGCCCTAAAATTATTATTATTTGTTTTTGTTGTTGCTTCTTGAGACAGCGTCTCATTACGCAGACCAGGCTGGACTCAAACTCACAAAGATCCACCGGCCTCTGCCTGCCTTCCGAGTACTGGAATTACCACTATGTGCCACCACACCCAGCAGCAGTAAGATATTTAATTTTAGATATCTGAATAGGAGGAAGTGGGAAGAAGGGAAAAGGAAAAGAGAATATTTGAGAATATTCCTGGGCCCAGGGGAGGTTATGGTTAGTGGATCTAAGTTGTTCATTTGTGGAGGCTTGGGTGTAGGCTCTCACGGCCTCACCCTGACTGCATGAATGAGCACCCAACTCCAGCACCACCCCTGTGGGAGTTATGATCAAAGTTGAGGGAGAGCTTGGACAATGTTGTCAAGTGATTTTCTTGAGCAGTTCATTTAAAGTCATGGGACTTTCTCTAAGTGGACTTCTCTTTATCTGGGCTTTAAAAGAATTTTCTGTCATTTTGGCGTTCGGAATTATCACCCATAAAGGCATCAACAAATCACCCTTGAGGGATCTTATCGCAGAACATACCTAGTTATCAGCAGTAGCCTGTACCAGCCTGACAACATGGCTGCCTCACCTTGTCCCTCCAGGCTGCCAGCTCCCAGAATACCCTAATTTGATTGAAACATGAGGTACCACACCAGTACCACAATGGCTGGGAAAGACTCCCGGGCTGGGGCTGGAGTTCCCCTCCCTGAGAAGATAAAGCTACCTGGAGGCTGTCAGGGCGGTTCCGACTCTGGCTGCTTCAGCTCTGACCTGTCTGCCATGCTCCTTGATAAGGCTCATCGTCTCTTCCTACTGTGGGAGTGTACCTGTCTGCTCAGATTTCAGGAGAGAAAATCCCTTCCAAGAGGGATGTTTGTGAAATCCTAATCTGGGATTCTTGCCACCGAAGTTTTTTCTTCTTTCCACACCACTGCTCCAGTGTGATCTCAGGTGTTGATTCTGGACTTTTCTCTCTTATCCCAAATTTTCTTTAGTTTGGAACCTAGCCATTTTCTTTTCTTTTCATTTTAAAATTAAAACACACAGCACACATGTGGAGTTAGAGGAGCTTGTTGGTATCAATTTTCTCCTTCCTCGAGGGGTCAGGGCATTTGAACTCAGTGTCAGGCTTGGCAGGACATGACTTTATGTTCTGAGCCTCCATTTCTCTCTCTGTCTCCCTCTCCTCTCCCTGTGTTGAGATTGAACCCGGGGCCTTGTACATGCTAAGCAAGTACTCCATGGCTCCAAACTCCCCAGCCCTGAGTTTGGAACTATCAATCTATAATTAAAGGCAAGAATTAATTAATCAATGTTAATGGTAAAATATTGTAGTTAAAAAAAATTCTTTTTTTCCCCAGTTCAAACGTTTTTCTTCCTTGCAAAACAAAGCATTAATATGTGTTTCTGTTTAAGTACATATTTAAATCTTTCAAAAGACATTGCACTTTAAAGCTTGCTATTAATTAATACAACACATTTCCCCTTTGGGCTTACATGAAGCTACACAATGCTGAAGGAGACACAGTGTTGTCGAAAATGGAAAGTACTACACCATAAGATGAAATTCTTGGTAGGAAAAAGCAAAAGAACCTCTGTAGATCTTTCTCTGATGACTTTCAAAATTGTCTCTTTTTTCTTTTGGTGGCAAGAATTGAACCCAAGGCCCCATGCACTCGAAGCAAGCCATCTACCTATAAGTTATACACCCAGCTCCTCCCAAATGTTTTTTCCTTAAAAAGCAAAGAAAATGAGAACCTACCTAGAATTTTAACACTACTTTCAGAGTTCTAGGACAATTCAGAAGAGTCATTGTTCAAGAAAAGGAAAGCGGTTTCCTTTTTGACAATAGGCCTCTTCCGTGGACATACATATCCCTGGACGTGGGGAAGATCTAGGAAGCCGCCTTGGATACATGATACAGTTGGAAAATAGTAAGGGCGATATTAACTCAACAATTGATGTTTTGTTGCCCAACAAGAGACTGTAATCTGACATACATTCCATCGAGCATGCTCAGAAGAGCCTCACAGTCTAGATGCACTGAGAATGCATGCATTGAACACACTCCCCCACCCCAATGAACACCCCCCCAATTGCGTCTGAACATATACATTTGAACACGACTACAACACAGCATGCTTCTGAGCCTGCAAGCTTTGACAATTCTCAGCCAACAAGAATGTTCAAGCACAGTAGAAGCCTGCCCTCTAGTGGCCGACACCTCTGAGAACTTCCTGTGACCCCAGGGACTCTGGGAGGGAGGCAACAGCTGCCAGATGTGCTCCGGACAGCTTCCGCTTGCTGTTCTCACTTTTCCCTCACATCTTCAACTTTCTCTGGAGAATATAACTCGGTCTGGGGAGCTGAGAATGGGTGTGTCATCCAACAGTAACCTCTAGTAGAATAAGGTTTTTAAAGTTATCTGAAGTTCTTGGGTTTCTGACTTTATAGTTAAAAAAAAGTTCCCATATCTTTTTGTTGTGAGTGGAATATTCTGCTTGGGCCAAACAGGCCACGTAAAGACCAGGCTCCAAATTCTTTCATAAATGTTACAATGGCTTAAGGTGACGAATCCTTATCTGTTTCTATGCAGAAAGTTAACTGAATCTCTAGGTCTGAATTGCCATTGTCTTCTTTATTATTATTATGTTTTAATGTGTGTCTCTGTATGTGGTGTTTAGGTGGGCACACCTGTGTGTGTGTGTGTGTGTGTGTGTGTGTATCTAGGACCCGCCACACACTAAGTATGCACTCTGCCACTGAGCTATACCCCAGTCCTCCATGTGTTTTCTTTAGTATATCAGCATTCTTTATGCTGTTCAGGTCAAAGCACTGCCTTCAGATTTGGTTTTTGGAGTCTGTGGTGATACTAAACCCACCAAGGGGACTGAGCCTTCTACCCTGGACTTCTTGGCCTCATGAATGAGTTCCTAAGCTCCTTTCTCACCTCCTAACTTTCAGACTCCAGCCCTCTGAATTCCTCGGCTCAAGTCCTGTCTCTTCCCTTTAAGCCTTTCCTCACCTCTATGAATTGCCCGTTAGCTACATCTCCCCGCAAGCTGCAAAACGCACCTGAAACCCACCACTCCCTTTTAGCAGCCTCCCCAGGCAGGATAAAGACAGCTCCAGGGCATGACTGGCACACTCCCAACACACAGGAACACGCCCCCCCCGAACAAACAGGAGACTCACAAAAAGAAAATGTCACATTCTGTATGTTTGAACTATACAGACCCTAAGAGGGTGAAAGCATCATTAAAAAAAAAAAAAAAACAAAAAACAAAACAACAAACCCATTAGTCACCATCACGTCAGATAATGAGAGACGTTTTGTTATTGTTGTTTTTATAGGGCCTTGCTATCACAGCTCAGGCTGACCAGGATAGCCATGTAGCCCAAGTTAGCCTCAAACTCATGATTCTCCCACCTCAGCCTTCTGAGAGCTGGGGTTACAGGAAAGTGACAAGATATTTGTTGCCGTCTCGGGCATTCCTCAGCAAAATGTGCTGCTGTATCATTGATTTTGTATTTTCTTATCTTTTAATTGTTTTGTTTTGGTGCCTGGGAAGGGGCCTAGGGTCTTGTATAACAGAGGGAAACCACTACTCATTAACTAGACAACACAAAGTTGGCCCCACAGCATCTTTTGTTTGGTTTAATGTATTTTTTTGAGACAGAGTCTCATGTAGCCTACACTATTTTCAAACTTTCTATGGATCCTTCTTTTCTCCATTCCCACGTGCTAGGATTACAGGCATGCCCCACCATGCTGGGCCTTTCTCCACAGCATCTTGTGGTAGACCGTGCACCCAAGAACTTGCTCTTAGACAGACAAGTGCACTTCCGAGCATGGGAGCGGAATGACTCTTCATGCTCCCATGTGTCCCAGGGAAACAGGTCCACTGCGCGGGCACACAGGACCATGGCTCTGCTGAAAAAAGGCCTTGCTGAAAGTGTTTGGGCCACAGACTCTGGACAGGCCTTCACATCCACTCCAGCTCTGGAGCCAGTGGCTCTTCAGGAGTTCTGGATCTGAGGCGATCACACAGGAAATACAGACACACATGTGCTCTCATGACGCCGTCCTCACAGGACCGCTGAGGCCAACATGGAGGCCGAGAGACTTGTGGTACAGCATGACCAGAACGAAGAGAGACACAAGACGAAATGGCGACAGCCAGCACCCGGAACATGGCGTCAAACACCACGGCCACAGAAGCTTGCTAGCTATGGGCCACGCCGTGCAGCCTTGAAGCAAAACTATTGATTTTGTGGTTGTTAAAAAAAACAAAACAAAACAAAGAACCAAGAAAACCAAAAAACCCAAAACGTACCTTCAACGGCAGAACTCAGTTTTATGACACCTTGAATAAAAACAAAAGATGGTAGTTATATAATGGACCCGGGTTACCTTTTTTTTCCAGTTTTCACATAACACGCGTACATTTCAGGTCTGGATATTTTGCTGTTGTTGTTGAGAAGTTAACTAAACAATTTCAAAAATGAAATACAGAAGCTATCAGCACTTCCTGAATTTTGCTGGGTCTGGGGATCATTTTACACATGTTGGGACAGAGCTTGTGTTGAAATATATAGTAGGCGGTTGAAAACCAAGGCCTGTCTCTCAGCATCCTTCCCTGAACTGGTTGGGCAAGAAGCTGTTTCCCCAGTCTTCGGGCTTAACTTTTGCCTTTGCAGGTGAAACCATGAAAAAAATGCCCACCTGGGTATGTCATGTTGAGCATGGAGAAAGTAGATATTACCCACAACTGGACTGGTGTTTGTTTTTCCCTTAATTTAAAGGTGAAAATTCTAAAATAAACTAGACCTGGTCAGCAACTTGATTTCAAACAGTCTTTGTATGCCATGGCTATAAACAGATAATGCTCTCCAGTTTCTTTCTAAAATCTTTGTGTGTGTGACATATATGTATGTGAAGACAGGTGCACACACTTGGTCAGAGGACAACCTTGTGTGCCGTCCTCGTGTCTGTCCTTCCCGTCTACCTAGCTTGAGGTGCCATCTTGCTCTGTGCTGTTTGTCAGGACAGCTGACCTGTGTTTGCTGGGATGTTCCTGTCCCTCTGCAGGATGACAACGCACTCTACTGAATAAGTCTTCTGTGGATTATGGGGATCTGAAGTCTTCAAACCTCAGGCTTGTACCAGATATTCTTTTATCCACTGGGTCATCTATTTTCTAATGTCTGTGCCGTCGCTGTGGTCTTTTACATGGTGCCAAAGTGTCTATAAGCAGCACATGGTTGAAAATGTGCCTTTGTCTTTTAAACTGGAAAGATTTCTGATTTAAATGGAAAGAAGTCTTCTCAATACCACCCAACCCAGCTGGTAGCAGCCAACTTGCACACTGCTTTCATGGTGTGCCTGTAAGTAAATATGCTCATTGCAGATGTTGCTGATGTAAACAGTGTGTAGCATTGGATCTACAAAGGATAGCAAAGGCATGGTGATACTAAGGCAACTTCTGTACAGCAACCGATCTTTTCAATGAATGAAGTCTTCTATTAGCACCAGCAATTCAAACCACTAGTATCCCTCCCCAACAAGTCATACATTGATTTATACACCAATCTGACTTTTCTCCAATACATTTATTGTCATTGTATCTTTTTATGACCTTAACCCATTCCTCATATAAATAGTTTTCATGAGGTTAAAACCTTGTTCAGGTTTGATAACTATGAACACTGGTATCGTGAGGAGTCCCGTTGGATGTGGGGCTGGGAAGAGGTATGCAGTAACCACAGCCCACAGCTGTAAATAGTTCCAGGAATAGGAAGTAACAAGTTGTTGTTAGGAATTCCAGGATTTTAGTAATCTGTGACCATTGTCCCAGCAGTGCTGGGCACTGAATAAAACACACAGTCAAGCTGGGGGGTGCGGGTCAGTGGTCCAGTCACGAGACCACAGGTTCACTCCTGGGTAGCAGTAAAACACAGTGTATTGTCTGCCTCTAAACTATCTAGTCCTTACCTTTGTTTTTAATGTAAACATATTGAATTATGAGTTCATATAATTTAAATTGTAACAACTGGAAATGCAAGAACTGGAGAGCTGGCTTCTGCAGGCTGCAAGGAGCCAGGCTTCGGACACCACCCTCAAAACTCAGGTTCAGAGAAGAAAGCTTGCTGAGATTTATGGACATGGTTTTAACTGAACCAAACAAGCCGGTTGGAAACAACTGAGCATTTACTATGATTTCGTAGGCAGTCTCAAAGCCTCTCAGAACTGCCAGATGCAAGAAATACCTTTACGTCCACTACCCTGGAAGCAATGGTCATTGACATCCAGTAAGGGCAAAAACTAAGCAGGTTTGCCCCTTTTGTGGTCAGACAATTAAACCAAGAGGTAGAGTTAGGCCTGAGCGCAGATCAATGGCCTGCCATATTGGAACAGTAGGAATTTCACATAGGTTAAAAATGAGCTTATCTCCCAGTCATATCCATCACACATTTTAAAATTATTATTCTTGTGTGTATACATGATGTATGAGGAGTGTGAGCATGTGTGTGTCAGAGTGTGTGTGTGTGTGTGTGTGTGTGTGTGTGTGTGTGTGTGTGCAGGTCAGAGGACAAGTCTGTGAATTTGGTTCTCTCCTGCCTTGAGGTGGGTTCCTGGAATCAAACTCAGTTGCCAGGATTATACTGCAAGCATCTTTATCCCCTGAGTCATCGTGCCCATCCCTCGGTCATATTCCTTTTTGTATGTAACTATGGTGTCAGCAAATAAAACCATGTGCACTAATTGTGTGCAGAGACAGTCTGTGAGAAGAACACCTAAACAAATTCTAGGGCTGGAAGTGGCCTTGGAGGAGAGCCCCAAAATGCACTCACTGAGAGAAAAAAAAAAAAACGTTAAGTTAAAAAGCAAACAGTTGCATGATTTTAGAACTTTCATTACGAACATTATTTTCACAGGATCATTAATGAGCTATTAACTTCAAACGGACGTTTCTAATTTTTTTAAACAACAAATTAGATTTTTCTCTATTTTAGGGTAGGTATTTATATTGTGAAGAAATTATATTATGGTGGAAATCTCAACTCCACTGAAGCGCAATATATGGCTAATAGTAACATACACATGATTATAGAATCACAGAAAAGCGTCTTTTCTCTTAAAATGTGCATATTTGAAAGTCTTGGAATATTTAAGAAGTGACTGGTGTTGATGATGTTTTAAAGTACACACAGTGTCGCTGACTTGCAGACACAAGCTAGACATGCGTTGTAAGCAGCCAACATTGACGTTGCCTGGAATTCTGGGTAAGCCACAGCACGTACATGTATGCAGGTACATAGAATGGAGCCCACCACTCCCCACCGGATTCACTTCTTCACAGGCTGCAGAAGGCTTTGAAAATTAAAAACAAAAATAAAAAGAGACAAAGAGAAGAGAAACCCCACAGTTTCCCCCTGCACTGGTTATCTCAGCAAGGCACACTAACTAGGTGGAGACGTGAGTGCCGCCCACCCCATCCCTGTCCTGAGGGTGGGAGCCAATGGCCAGCCAGGTGTGCTTCCTACCTCAGCTGGCCACTGCCTGCTCTCTCCCATACGCCTTTCTTTGGCTGTGTTTGCTTGTTGTTAGGGGTTGAACTAGACGTCATGCATGCGAGGCAATGATTAACCCCAGTGCGAGGACCTCAGCTCTTTTTTCCTTTGGGCGTTGAGATAGAGTTTTATAAGATGACCAGGCTGGCCTTGGTCCACTTTGTAGCTCATGCAGACCTTGAATTTGTAATTCTCCAGCCTCGGTTTCTAGGACAGTTAAGATTACAGACTCTGTTGCCAGGCCCATCTTCCTTATTACCTACATTATTCTCCTCTACCCCCTTTTGGTGCTGAAGATTAAACCCAGGAGCTTCCATATACTAAGTCTACGCTCGACCATTGATCTACAACCCCGACCCCCATCCGAAATGATTGATTTCAGTTGTTCTAAAAGAATTCTTAGGAGAAAGGATCAGGTTAGATCATGCTAAAGTGTGAATGACTAGAGCTCTCTAGGATCCTGCAATGGTATCTCCCTGCTGATGAAATACTAAGCCAGTCTCCAGCCCTAAGACATCCCTACCTTTCCCTACATCTACTTACTCAACGGTCCTCTCTGCTCATCAGTACTCACCCCTTTCTGCCTGAGTCAGCCTGCTGCTCCACCTGAGCTGTGGAATCTTCCTGTACCTCTTTCTCTTCATTCAGACTCTGCTCCAAGGCCTCTTCCTCCTGGGGACTGCTTTCAGAGAAGCCATAAACCACCCTCTGTGTTAGGCTCTGAGTTGAGTTCTCTATCTGAAATGCTCCCCTGTGGTCTCTAGCTCACATCTATCTCCCTCAGCAGGCACCAGTACAGTGAGAGCTGTCTGTTTCTGGAACCTCTTGCCAAGTAGACTTCCTCACATAAAATGAGCACCCCATAAATATCTTTAAAATATTTATTTATTTATTTATTTTTTTGAGACAAAATCATGCAGCCCAGTCTGGCCATGAACTCAACATGTAGCTGAGGATGCTCATGCCCTTGTGATCCTCATGCCTCTGTTTGCTGAGTGCTAGGATTACAGGCGAGTACCACAGTGCCTGCCTAGTAAACACTCACTGAATGAACTGAATGATCATTGCCAAGGTTCCATATTATGGAGTATCTCAGCTCCAGCAAGTGCATTTCCAGTACATTATTGAATTGTGAATAGTACTGAGTGGGACACTCAGAGGTCATTACACTGATTGCTGTCTGTCCATTTCTACTCAAAGATTGGTCTCTGGGTTGGGAGGGGAAACTGAGAAATGGAGAGAATATATGTAAGTTTTAGGAGACATAAGGTACTTCCCGTTGTAACAGTAACAAGATCTCGAAGAAATCAGATTGGCTGGCTACTTGTAGCAAGAGTGTGCCCTAATTAGATGCCAAGAAATATTAACGAAGTAGTTTTCTATCCAAGTATCTCGAGAATCTGTAGTTCTCTTCGGCACCATCACCCTGCTCCCAACTATATCAGAGTTCATATGATAAGATGCAGATAAAGAAGGGCTTGAAAGAGTGGCTGGGGTCTCCCGAGGGCCTGGGTCACAGGTGTGTGCCACCATGCCTGGCTGAGGACTGTTCAGTTTTTAATATCCTGATTCTAATTAGTTGCTGTACTGCAGCTGGCAGGGCCCCTCCGAAGGTCCTCACCCCTTTAGACTCCTTCAGTGGTGTCTCATTATTTTAAAGATAAAGACAAAGAACCTTAATGCAAGCTGCAGAGCCTTCCAGGATGTCACCTCCAGCAGAACAAAAGACAGCTGTGTGTTCTTCCACACTCATCTACAGAGACGTGGAGCCTCTCCTGGCCCCTGAAGCTAC